TAAAATCACTAATAAGTAAATTAATGTATAGGTAAGAAAAACTATTTATAAACAAAAATAATGTCATAAGTGTTTTTTTTTTTCCTGACAGTTGTATGTTTTCCTAATATGTCATAATTAATACTAAATGTCATATTACCATCCGCACTAATCAAATTTTTTATTTTCCTCCATAGAACGTTGTAATGTGTTATATTAAAAGGTAGAAATGTATTCGTGTTGGAAAAGACGGAAACAAAATTTATACACATTTGATAATTATAGCCTGTTCAAAAGTTATTTTTTGGCCCAAAAATTTGATTTTTTGACCATTATTCACTATTGTAGCTGTCCTATTTGATTTCTTCTCTCACTGGTGGACCCCACTTTTCTCCTAACGGTCAAAAAATCAATTCTAAAAATCACTCCCAAACAAGCTCTTAAATTGGCAAATTTGGATTTTTTTTATTTATTTTATTTATTTATTTTTTTTTTTTTTGTGGCAGACAATTACTTAAAGAAAATGATTTTAGAAAAACGTGAGTCAAATAAGCTTTTAGTATTGTAATCATTACAATGCCATAGGCTAGCTTGGTGGGGCACAAATGCATGTGTATGCGATTGCAATCTTGATTGCACCAAGCTCAACTTCGGCCTCCTTGCGCACATCACAAAGGTCACCCTTACATTCTATTCTGCAGGAAAATGTTACACTTTGTCCACGCATCATCATGACATTCTAAGGGCTTTTAAAGTTTCTGGAATTGAAATTGGCAACAATGATGTGGAGACATACGTAATTGTGCAGATAGTCCTGATTTCGTCCATCTCAACTCAGACTTCACACATCACAAAGGGCACTTTGGTGCATTAGAGAAACACTACACACACATGTTATCACGACAAGCTAAGGGTCGTTAAAATTTTTGGTGTTAAAATTGGCAACAATGACATGGAGACATGGCATCTGTGATTGTTTCGCACCAATTACAAGGTAGGGCAAGCCAACATGGTGGTGACATGAGAATTGGTGTACACACCATGCTTAACAAATCATCCAAGGGACATGATTGTCTAGGAGTCAGTGATTGGGTTAAGAGGAAAACAGGAATATTTCAAAACAAGTTCTTTCTCAAACATTGATATGAAACACTGAAGGAAGGTTCTTTTCTTTTTTTCTTTTTTTCTTTTTTTTTTTTTGACAATAAAATTAAACTACAACATTCACGATCCCATAAACTACTCAGTCCTCATCACAGAAATTTTAATTAAAGATAGCAGATGCCGAGCCGGATGTTATAGACTACAAAGCTTAAAATAACTAGAATGGGGAGAAGGGATCAACAACATATAGCATTGTTCAAAATTTCATTAATTTTGATCCTTAGATGGATCAGCATTCAATGCATCAAAATTTAGATACTGATCAGTGTCTGCCAGCTCTTTGTTCAATTCTGATGTGGATTGCAGGGAAGATCCATCAAGGTTGGAGCTCCATAGATGGTTTGTGCCTGATGGTGCAGTACTAAATCCTTGCAAGTTTGTACGGCTAGATTGAACATGTCCAGAATTGTTCGGGCATTGCTGCTGGTATAACGGATCAAATGGGCGCTGTTGCACATTTCCATATTGAAAGAAGCCAAACTGCATGCTTTTGGGTAGTTCTTTGAGATGTTGTAGTTCGTGTTTCATTGCTTCATGTTCAACTTCAATAAAATATGAAAAGAAAGACGTCACGGATGATATATGTAAATAC